CTGTGGCACTAATCTCATTCATGAGGCTCTGTTTTAATGACCTAATCACTACCCAAAGGCCCCCACCTCCTAATGCCATCACCTCGGGCATTAGGTTTCAACATATAATTTTGCGGGAGGTGGCACACAGACATTCAGACCATAGTAATTTCCATTTTTAAAATTTTGCTATTACAATTGAAGTTTCTTTTCACTATTGATTGACTTTATATTTCTGCAGCCTGTTATCTATTAGGTTTTTAGAATGTTTTTGTTGAGTTGTAGGAATTCTGGGTTAATCCCTTGTGTCGGGGACAAATATTTTTCAGCTTACTGTATATTTTTTTAAATTTTTGTTTATTCAAAAATTTCTAATTTAAAGATTTATCTTAAAATTTTTGTTTAGTTTTTTGTTAATCTTCACAAGATATTTTTTCATTGCTTTTTAGAGAGGGTGGAAGGGAAGGGGACAGAGAGAGAAAAACATCGATGTGAGAAAGACGCATCAATTGGTTGCCTCCCGAATGCACCCCAGTGGGTGCCGGGAATCGAACCTGCAACCCAGGTATGTGCCCCTGACGGGAATCTAACCCATGACCCTTCTGTCTATGGAAGGCCAATACTCTAACCACTGAACCAAGCTGGCCAGGGCTTTTTCTTTTTTCTTTTTTTCTCTTAAAATTTTTGATGCCCTGGCCTTTTTATTTTTTTAAATATATTTTTTATTGATTTCAGAGAGAAAGGGAGAGGGAGAGAAAGATAGAAACATCAATGATGAGAGAGAATATTTGATCAGCTGCCTCCTATGCACCCCCCACTGGGGATTGAGCCAGCATCCTGGGCATGTGCTGTGACCAGGAATTGAACCATAACCTCCTGGTTCATAGGTCAACACTCAACCACTGAGCCACACCTGCTGGGCCTGTATGTGGCTTCTTAACATAATATTTTCAAGGTTCATCCATGTCGTAGCACGTATCAATACTCGATTCCTTTTTATTACCAAGTAATATTCTGTTGTAATGGATATAATCATAGTTTTCTTACTCACTCGCCAGTTGATGGATATTTGGATTGTTCCCACTTTTTGGATATTATGAATAATGTTGCTATTAACTTTCATGTACACGTTTTTTAAAAATATTTTTATTGATTTGAGAGAGAGAGAAACATCAATGATGAAATAGAATCATTGATTGGCTGCCTCCTGTATGCCCCCTTCTGGGGATCGAGCCCACAACCCAGGCATGTGCCCTTGACCGGAATCGAACCTGGGACCCTTCAGTCCGCAGGCCGACACTCTTTTCACTGAGCCAAACCGGTGAGGGCAATGTACACATTTCTATGTGGACATGTTTTCATTTCTTTTGGGTAATTTACTGGGTCATATGGTGGGGTTGCTGGGTCATATAGTGACCTTATGTTTATTCATTTGAGGAATTGCTAGACTATGTCCACAGTGGCTATACCATTGACATTCTTACTAGCAGTGTAAGAGGAGTCCACTTTCTACACATACTTGCTGACAGTTGATGTTGTCAGTCTTTTTGATTGCAGCCATCCTAGTAGGTGCAGAGTGGTTTCTCATTGTGGTTTTGATTTCCCTGATGGCTAAGGTGATGAACATCTTTTCTTGTGCTTATTGGCCATTTGTCTCTTTTTTGGAGAAATGTGTATTCAAGTACTTTGCCCATTTTTAAATTGGGTTATTTTTAAAACTATTCAGTTGTAATTAGCTCCTTTTTTTTTTTAATTGATTTCAGAAAGAGGAAGGTGGGGAGTGAGAGAGACAGAAACATGGATGTGAGAGAGAAACATTGATTGGTTGCCTCCTGCACCGGGAATGGAACCCACAAACTGCGTATGTGCCCTAACCAGGAATCGAATCCACTACCTTTTGATGTATGGAATGATGTTCCAACCAACTGAGCCACACCGGCCAGGGCGTATTTATATATATATTTATTTAAGCTTTGATTTTTAAAAGCAGTAAAATCAATTTTTCTTTCCTAACAAGAAATTGTTTTATGTGAATGTCCTGGAACTGAATCCCTATCTCCTAGATTGGTGATGAGGCTCTCAGACCTCCTATTTTATTAGCGGCTGTAAGCTTGTGACTGGTGACTGGGATACAGAGATGTAGAGATAATGTTTTCTATATAACACTGTTCTAGGTGGTAGGATCATTGTGTTTCAGGTATATTAGGCCATTCTGAGAGCCGACATTCTTGGACATGTTCAAAAGAATAACATAAACACTTGTGTTGATGACTTTATCATCATGCAGAGAATCTGATCGGTTAGCAATAAAGTTAGCAAATGTTTGGTTGGTGCTGAGGACACCTCAGGCCCCTACTCTCGGGCATCTCCTGGATTAATGGAGAAGACGGGTAATCAAAATGCAGCCAGGATCCCACCAACTTGGCCACCATCTCATAATATATGTAAATCAAACCATCATGCTGTATTCCTTAAACTTATATAGCAATGTATATTAATTATGTTAGTTATTATATGTTTGTGAATTTCACCTCAATTAAAAAACTTTCCCCCCACTTGTAACAAAACCTAAAAACTTGCTGAAGCTAGTCAGATATTTGGATATCTATGAGGCAGTTTCGGTCATGTCCCCCACCCTTTTTCTGTTGGCTCTGGTAATTGGTGTGGTGGTCTTGACAAAAAGCACTTGGTACAGTCTCGGGCACAATATTAAAGCTCCTTCATTGTTAGAGGTTCTTTTTTGGTCAAGGAAGAAGGAAGATTTCCCTCAACGTTAGCCCTGCCTCCAGCAGTGCATTTGAGGTTTGGTTTCCTTCCTTCACCTTTTGTAGCTACACTTGTAATTCAGTCTCTCACCTTCCTTTCTGTGTTCTTTCGCATTTGTGTAGCCCATTGCACCGGAAATTCTCACCCACCAGATTTCTTCCTTCTTCCTTCTGTATTGCCTCCTGGCCTTAAGGTGGAGCAATGTCTCTCCTCCCTTGGGCCCAACACTGGCCCATGTTTCCTGCTCTTCTCTGCTGATTCTTCTGTAGCTTCTTCTCTCTTTATGTAGCTGTAATGGTTGAGGCAAAACAAGACACAGGGCCACACATAAAAGTAATTTTGCTGCCAACCTTAGGGTACTGGGATTATGCCTTCATGTTGGTGGAAGCTACTGAGCTTAAACAAGCCAGGCACAGGCTTTGTGAACAAATGCCACAAGGCAGTATGACCTAAGAAGCGGAGGACATCTGCCTTGTAGACTGAAAGACAATGGATAGCATCATGAGCAAAGTTATGAAAGAATATAGACAGTATAGGTCGAGTTTTATAACTACACTAGAGGCCCAGCGCATGAACTTCGTGCACGGGTACAGTCCCTAGGCCTGTCCTGCAATCAGGGCCATCTTCCCCGGTAGCCGGCAGCCCGCCCCGCTCCCCGCCACCACCCACCCCCGGTTCCCCATTCGCCATCGGGTGATTGGAGCCTGCTGCCCGGGGGGAGGGACTGGGAGGTTGGCCTTTCCTGCCCACTCACTGGTCTGTCCCTTGATGCTGGTCACCCTCTGTGTGTGGTACAACTGGCGGGGCGGGGGCCTTAGTCTGGTGCCGCCTGCATCTGCCACCACCCACCCCCAGTTCCCCATTCCCCATCAGGCAGTCAGGGGCTATGGGCTGTGGGCAGCTCCTTCGTTGAGCGTCTGCCCCCCTGGTGGTCAGTGCACGTCACAGTGACCAGTTGTTCTGCCATTCGGTCGATTTGCATATTACCCTTTTATTATATAGGACTAGAGGCCTGGTGCATGAAAATTCATGCACTGGAGGGGGGATCCCTTGGCCCAGCCTGCCCCCTTTCACAGTCCGGGAGCCCTCAGGGGATGTCCTATTGATGGCTTAGGCCTGCTCCTGGGCCTTGCAGCCATCGGGCCTCATAGCTACTGTGAGCCCCAGGCCTTGCAGCCGCTGTGGCATTGTCCGGATGGACATCTGGAAGATGTCTGCCCTAATTAGCATATTACTCTTTTATTAGTATAGATATGAGTAATATATATAGATATCTAGAATGAAAAGCCTTTGTGTGCACTGTATGTGCATAGAGAACATACCATGGCCATGTAGCAGGGGGCTAACAGTCATTATCCTGGGCAGTGGAAGGTTTAATACTACTTTTTTGGCGTAGATGGTATATTTTTATGAAAAATAACAATAAGGTTACTTCTGTTCTTGAGGGGAAAGTGAATTAAGCTGTGAGAGGTAAAGTTCCTTGTTGAATTCAATTCATGGAGATTGTAATTTTAAATTTAGATATAATTCAGAGAGTAGTCATAAAAGATTGGTAAACCAGTTCTAGAAATACTTATTTCCACCAATATTTCTTTTCAAAGGGAATATGATGGAATTCATTCATGTTAGAATATTTGTTGACTGTGCTATGAAAAGTCCTACAATGCAAATTGTTGAAAACAGTAGAGAGAGCCCAGCCGATGTGCTCAGTGGTTAGCATCGACATATGAACCAGGAAGGAGGTTGCGGTTCGATCCCCAGTGGGCGGTGTGTAAGAGGCAGCCGATCAACGATTCTCTCTCTTCATTGATGTTTCTGTCTCTCTCCCTCTCCTTCCCTCGCTGAAATCAATAAAAATATATTTTAAAAAATAAAATATGGAGTCTAGGTGATAATGATATGTCACTGTGGGTTGACCAGTGGTAACAAATATACCATATTATTGCAAGATGTTGATTGTGGGGGAAGCTGTGTATGTGCAGACCAAGGCAGTTTTGCTTGCTGCAAAGCTAAAATGACTCTTACATAAAGTCTGTTTAAAGAAAATGAGCCAGAATGTCAATCTCAGACCTTTTCACAGCTTAGCAAACATCTTGCTCTAGAAATACTGATTGATTAATGGTTTCCCTAACGGTGATAAAGCTTCAGTTGATATGCCACTTGAAATAAATTAATTTTCAAGTTAATGGAACATTCCTGTCCCAGCGGCAGATTCGTTTACCATGGTGTGTTCATTTTGATCTCTTTCTCCGCAGGACAACCCTCCATATGATAAGGGGGCCTTCAGAATCGAAATCAACTTTCCAGCAGAATACCCATTCAAACCACCGAAGATTACATTTAAAACAAAGATCTATCACCCCAACATCGATGAAAAGGGACAGGTCTGTCTGCCAGTAATTAGTGCTGAAAACTGGAAGCCAGCAACGAAAACCGACCAAGGTAAAGCATGCTCCTATGTCTTCTGATGGTGCTCTTCTGGGGCTGCTGCTGGGACGGGCTCCGCGGTGCCTTCTAATGCCATGTCACACACATTCCAGAGAAAGCTCACTTACAAAATCCCATGCACACAAGTGCAACTGAGGTCCCACCAGTCCTGTGGGCATGTTGACCTACAGTTGGTGGCAGGTTTTTGAGGAGGCCCTTCCTGTGCTTGCATCCCAGTGAGGGCACATGTAGACAGACCAGCCCAGTACTTGGTGCCAGTGCAGGGAGGGATGTAGGCACTGTTCCTGGGAGGTTCATGAAGGATTGTGGGGCTGCCTCGGGGGAAGGTGGAGTGGTGTTTAAAGTGGCTTCACACAGCAGTTAGCAAGCGTACTCAGACATGAAGGAAGATGGGAGGTTATAGAGGGCCTTCTAGACTAAAAGAAGGGTACAAGCCAAAGCCACCGGGTGGGCAGCAGCAGCAGAAAGCCAGTGGCTCAGAGTGGGTGGGGTGGGGGTGGCGGATATAGTTAGACCTGAGGGCTGTGTGCCCAGATGAAAGCACATAGTTGGCTTTAGCAGGCCTGGAACTCCCTGGAATTGGATGTGGCCGTTTGTGTCCGTGTTCTGGGTGTCTCTGTAAGCATACATACCCCTGGGGGTGGGAGAGTACTTAATTCAGTATTACTGTTGGCCTCCCTCTTGTCCCCTGAAAGTTACTAGATTTTGTTGTGGCCATGTCTGGTTTTTATTTCCTAGCGCCAGAACTTTCTTTTGAAGTCCTTCCTAATTTTATATTTTCTTATAAGTAACCAGCCAATCACTATAAGGTCTTTTTAGATTAAAGAGAGTAGATAAGACTGGCATTTTCTAGACTGCAGGTAGTTTTTCAGTGAATGATATAGTCATTTTTCAGTAGAACCCCTGAAAAATGGAGTTGAAAGCCTTTTACGTGGAAAGTTCAGCCTCAGGCTCAACACAGCTGAGTAGTAGAAAGAAGTGGGTACTAAATGCTGAGTCAGAATAGAAAGATCTCCAGTGGATTTGGCATTTGGTCATTTTGATGTTTTTAAAAGCTTGACAGTTATTTTTTTAAAACAATATATTTGAGAGAGAGAGAGAAACATCAATTTGTTGTTCCACTTATTCATGCATTCATTGGTTGATTTTGTGCCCTGACCAGAGATTGAATCCACAACCGTAGTGTATCAGTATGATGCTCTAACTAACTGAGCTACCCAGCCAGGGCCGACAAAGTTATTCTTTTTTAAAATATATTTTTATTGATTTCAGAGAGGAGTGGAGAGGGAGAGAGAGAGAAACATCAGTGATGAGAGAGAATCACCGATTGGCTGCCTCCTTCACTCCCCCCACTAGGGATCAAGCCCACAATGTGGGCATGTGCTAGGGCCAACAAAGTTATTCTTAAGTGCAGATGCCTGGTATATATATATATAAATATTAGACAAATTCCTAGCTCTGTGTTGGAAGGCTATAGCTGCACTTGTTTAGGAATGCCTTGTCAGCCACTCATGCAACTCCCAGAGCCCTTGCCAAGTTGTGTGTGTTAAACAACATGTCTGAGAAGGGCAAGTCCTTCCAGGCCAGGCTACCCAGGCAGACCCTGCACCTCAGATTGCTAGGTCACAGAGAATTACACATCTCTTCCTTATTGAGAACTGGGGTGGTGAGGGGGTCTACAGGTGGACTGTATAGGACAGGACATGTTGTGACACAGCCAGGGGTAGGGAGAACTGCAGGAGATGAACATAAGTAAAGTGCTTTGCACCTCATATAGTTGCTGGCTGCCCAAGAGGGCTGTGTCAGTATTATCCCTATTTTGGGGTAATGAAAATATTCTGGAGTTGAATGGTAGTGTCCAGATAATTTTTTTAATATACTAAAAACAACTGAATTGTATACTTTTAATCTTACCCAAGGATATAGTTATTGATTTTTGAGAGAAACATCAATCGGTTGTCTCCCATACACACCCCAACTGAGGATCAAACCCGCAGCCTTGTTGGTGTATGGGACAACGCTCCAACCGACTGAGCCACCTGTCTTGTATACTTTCAAAAGAAGTTTTTTTTTTAATATGTGAATTATATCTCAAATTTTTAAAAGAAAGTAAGGAAGCATTAAAAATTGAGCACAAATAGCATGAGAAACGTCAAGAAACAAGGCAAAATTATATCAAACAGGAAGCTGGTAGGAGTTGGCAATAATACCAGGAAATGTGAAAATAAAGTTTTGTTCAGCCACCTGCCTGATTCTGGTAGATATCTTAGTGGCAGAGCAGGAGCTTAGTTGAGTACTTTAATGAGATTTACTATATAAAATACAGCCAGTAACAAAGCCAGCATAATACTGAATCTGTATGTATCAAACAACATAATAAAATTATAGGGAGCCCTGGCTGGTGCACGCAGTGGTTAGAGCATCGGCCTGTCCACTGGAGGGTCTGGATTCCTGGACTGGGGTACGAACCTCGGTTGCAGGTTTGATTTTGGTCCCGGTCAGGGGGCGGGGTATGTGGGAAGCAGCCCGTCAATGTGTCTCTCTCACATCACTCTCTTTCTCTTTCCCTTTCTCTCTCTCCCTCCCTCCCCCCCCTTCCCGCCCTTCCCCCTTCATTCCACTCTCTCTAACAATCAATGGAAAAAATATCCTTGGATGAGAATTAACCAAAACAAAATTTGTATGGAGAAAATTAAAACAATTTAAAATGAAAGTTTCAACCCCCCCATACACTATTATAACAAATCAAGTAGATAAAGTTATAAAAAGGACTCAAGAAATATAACAAAGAGGATATTAGTTAACATTTTTATAAAGCATTCTATGGAAGGTACCATTCACATTTTACTCTGTGAGAATGAAGCACCCTAGATCTCCATAAAAAGGAAGAAATTACAGTGTTAACATCCTCTAATACAAGAAAACTGCCAATAAGAACAAAAATGAGATTTCATAGGCTTTACCCTCTGATCATATATAGGATGGGGCAAAAGTAGGTTTACAGTTCATATGGAAAATAATACAGTAATTAATACATAATAATACAAGAATAAACTTTTGTGTACTCAGCTGTAAACTTACTCTTGCCCTACCTTCTACAGTGAGAGAATAGGAGGTAAATTTTGATTGTTTTTAAAGTCTTTCTTTTGGAAGAAAAAAGTGCTTCTGGGGAGCACCTGGCTCAAGAAAGAGATCAAGAAACCAGAGCCAGACATTTATAAAATAAAATGAGCCTGCTGTTCGATATATAAAAAAAATAATGGGATGGGGCCATAGTTGTAGTTTGACAAGCAGTCATAGATATCAGTGTTCTCACTATCAAAACAAGCTAAGCGCTAAATTGGGTTTATTATAGTTTAGCTGAGGAGCCAGAAATGCACCCAAAGGAAACAGAGAAAGAATGAAATACTCATCAGAACTACTAAATAAATTTGAAAATATTTAGACTAGGTCAAAAAGTAAAAGCAAGTTCTTGGGAAAATAGCAAACTGCAGAGTGAGTATCTTTTGAAAATCATGTCTTAATAATTACCAAATGATTTTATACTAATGCATTGGATATTAAGGTATAATCATAGTAAGAAACCAAGAGCCTGAGTATCCATAACAGAGAGTGGGCAGGGAAACTCATCAATGCTCCCCCACATCCGCCCCAAAGCATTTACTCCTGTGGGGTTCCCGAAATGCTAATGAAGCAGCCATTCTGCTAGGAAACAATTTCTAATTATGAACAAAAGACTAGAAGCCACCTATTTATGCTATCGAACTTAAAAGGAATGAAGAGGCTTTGCGTAGAAGATTCAAGCTTCTTAGAGTTTGTAAACTGGAAAACAGCTGGGCAAAACGTAGAAGTGCTGCAAAGGAGAAAGAAAAGCTGAACCCATACCTTCGCCTGCCCCTGCCCCAGGCATGCTACCATTATCTTCCTCGATCCTAAGTTCCAAGGGCCCAGGACTCGCTTTCCAGCACATCTAGGATTTACTGCTTTTGGGGGGAGCATTGTAGAACCCACCCAAGCCCATCCATGTGACTTCTGCTTCTGAAATAGACAGTATAATGCTACTGGGGGTTAACCTCCCAGTGGTTTTAACCCCTAGTGCAGTGATGGTGAACCTATGACACGCGTGTCAGAGGTGACACACGAACTCATTTTTTTGGTTGATTTTTCTTTGTTAAATGGCATTTAAATATATAAAATAAATATCAAAAATATAAGTCTCTGTTTTACTATGGTTGCAAATATCAAAAAATTTCTATATGTGACTTGGCACCAGAGTTGAGTTAGGGTTTTTCAAAATGCTAAGACGCCGAGCTCAAAAGGTTCGCCATCACTGCCATAGTGGTTAGACAGGGTGGTCCAGTGACCCTTTCTCAGCTGGTTTAAAAGCTCTTCGGGGTCTTCCAGGGTGGACTCATTATGCACTTACATGCTGCATGCCCGTCTTGCACCCTTCATTCTCATACTCACTCATTGAAACTACCCTGAACTGAGTGCAGTTCTGGAACACATCACCCAGTCTCTGCCCTGGAGAAGCTTCAAGCATGCACACATGAGAGAGAGAGAGAGGGGGGGGAGGGGGGGGCGCGAGCGAGCGCGCCAGGCCTGATGTCTCCAGACTGCGGGGAAAGGATGAGAGTAACTAGGGGCTGGGACATTCAGAGGAAGAGGAGGAGGAGGCGGCAGCGGCATCACTCTGAACAGTTATCCACTGTTGACTGTCGTCCATCACTTTATCCTCATTACAGAGGAAAGTTAAGTGCTTGTGGTTAGAATTTTGGATAAATCAGAGGCCGCTTTGTCTTAGAAGCACATAGATATAAATCAGTATTAGAGTCAGAGTTGCATATCTTTCCTGGGCCCTTTCTGAGACTATTGTAACCAGTAATGCCTTCTCCTTTTCTTGGCAGTAATCCAGTCTCTCATAGCACTGGTGAATGACCCCCAGCCTGAGCACCCCCTTCGGGCTGACCTAGCTGAAGAATACTCTAAGGACCGTAAAAAATTCTGTAAGAATGCTGAAGAGTTTACAAAGAAATATGGGGAAAAGCGACCTGTGGACTAAAATCTGCCACGATTGATTCCAGCAAGTGTGAGCAGAGACCCCAAGCAGTGCATTCAGACATCCCGCAAAGCAGGACTCTGTGGAAAATTGACACAGGCCACCACCTGGCGTTTGCTTGTGGCAGTTACTAACTTTCTACAGTTTTCTTAATCAAAAGTGGTCTTAGGTAACCTGTAAAGAAAGGATTAAAAATTTAAGATGTTCTAGTTCTGCTTTCTTTGTTTTAAAAATCACTGCTTCAGTCTACTCTAAAAGAATGGTGTTTCTTTTCTTGTCCAAATTTATCCAAAATCTTCCATTTACATTTAGACCTTAAGGTTTAAAATAAAAGGTTGTGGTTCCCTTTCTTCCCATGCCCTTCCAACGCCACTCTCTTGCATTCAGTTTCTTTTTCATTCATTCACTTTGCCAGACCCAGGCCCCACCTCTGCAAGGAGAAGAGACAGCTCTGTCTGGTCTGGTGACTTCTCTTCTCCCATGTTGCAGTGCGTGTGGGAGTTCATTCAAGTTCTCCTGATTCCAATTTATAACATACTTTAAAAACAATTTTTTTAAAGCAAGCAAACCACCATCCCCCCCAAAAAATAACTATGAAAAGGAGGCCCACTTCTTATGTAAAAATCTTGCCAATGTTATCATCATAACACTGATTAAATGGCAACCCTGATGTCTGTGTGTGTGACTGAACACTAGCTTGGCCTGGCCTGCCTGGGAAGACCCTGCAGTATCAGGTCTGTGGCCACCCAGGGAGGGCCTGCCAGCCAGAGGACTCTGCACTTGTGTGAGGAATTTCTCATCAGAGAGGCTCCTGAGGTCAAAGGTTCACGCTCCTCCCTGCAGCCATTTTAGAAGATGTGCTGGCCTTTACAGACAACGCTAAAGCCAGAATGTCCATTTGAAATTCCACGCTCACCAGTCAGCAAGCTCCATCCGAATGTGCCACGGAGCCCGATCTCCACCTCCTCAGTGCAGCAGCCCCGCCTCAGCCCTCCTTCAGCAGTTTGACCCTTTGCAGGGTTGGAATTGGCAGGACTCAGCTAGAGCCAGAACCAGTCCGGGGTCACCGATGCCCTGCTGGCCTCTCCCTTTGAAGCAGCTGGCCAGGCCAGCCCAGGAACAAGACGGCCTTCCTTCCCTCTGGACTCACAGCCTTTGCAGAGTCAAGCTCCACTTGAAGCCCACTGAGTAATATCCTCTACATGTGTTTTATATTGTTTTGACTGCCTTTTTTTTGTAGAAATAAAATTGACCTTAGAATTTATCCTCAGATGAACTTGTAAGGATTTGAATGTTAATGTCTTTTTCAAAGCAAGTGGGACTGTCCCTGAAATAGTAGAGAAAACATGTCACACCCAGAGGAAGCTGCTGGTCCAAATGCCATGTGTCACCAACTCTGCTTCGGCCACTGGCAGCTTCCCTTCCTGACTCTCCAGGGTATTAGATTCTGTGGAGAAATGACTTAAAGAAACTTTGCTCATTTTAGTTTTAAAACGAGATCCTTCCAGGGCTATAACCTCTAAGACAGCTTGGTCTTACTGCACAGAACTGGGATGATGTGCTGGTTAATGTCGTTTAGTTGTCCGGGCACGTGGTCCCTGCAGTGTGTCACTGATTCAGCTGCTTTAGTCCAAGATACTCAAGGGGCAGGCTCTGGAGACTCCTGCCTGCTCAGGGGAGCTGGGCCAGCATTTCCACATCTGTCTCTTCATTGGCAGAAAGGTGATGATGGACGTTATTTCACTTACATACAGATTTGTAATAAAATGCCAAATTCTGTCGGAAGCTGTCCAAGTAAGCCACCATCGTTGCTTCTCTGAATCCAAAATTATTGCCATTCTTGGAAACCATCCCATTGCTTCGTGTTTCTACCAGCATAGTTCTGCCTGCCTGTTGTCCTTCACTTCTCTGTTCACCACAGGAGGTACCTTTTGTCAATGCCGGCAGCACCTCAGGGGACTCTTAGCCCTGGCATTGCACCCCATGGTTTGTCCAGTCAGGAGAGGCCTGGCCCTGGGAAAACGAGGCCATGAGGGGTCCTTCCCTCATACCTGGGTGGCTTGCTCCATCCAGCCTGCAGCAGTTCCGGGTGGTAGCTGAGCCTTCAGAGCAGGCTTTGAGCACGCTGGTGCCCTGGCAGCTCTGAAATCAAATAAGCTGGGTCCTCTGGGGGAGGGGAGAGCTGTCACCCACTGTCCCGAGCCCACTCAGGAATTCACACCCGCCTGAACTGAACCAAAGTGGGCCAGGTCCTCCCCCTCCTCCCTGCCCCTGCCCACCATGGCAGAGAATAGGCTTTCTAAAGATGCTGCGATCCCATTCTGCTGCCCTTAATAAAAATGCTCTCCAACACTGGTTTGGTTGTATGGGTTTCTTCCTTACTGGCGGTGGGCCTGCACTCAGTGGTGTGGGAGGGGTGGCTGGTGCCCAGGTCGTAGGGCCTCTGGTCTCCTGAAGCTTTTGCCTGCTCCTGTCTTCCCATGACCCAGTCTCCAAAAGAGGCACAGAAAAAGCTGAAGAGTCCAGATTATTGGGTCTCCCTTGGCTGTCTGGGGAGCAGACAGCACCTCTGTGTTTCACTTCAGTCAGATCAGCCCCTAAAGAGTGATACCCACATTCAACAGAAGAGCAAACTGGCTATCTTTTTATTTTTTTTTATTGATTTCAGAGAGGAAGGGAGCAGGAGAGAGAGAGAGAAACATCAATGATCGTCTGCCTCCTGCATGCCCCACACTGGGGATCAAGCCTGCAACCCAAGCATGTGCCCTTAACTGGAATCAAACCTGGGACCCGTCTGTCCGCAGGCCAACACTCCATCCACTGAGCCAAACCAGCCAGGGCCAAACTGGCTATCTTTTGTTGTTAATCCTCACCCGAGGATCTTTTCCCCTCACTGATTTTTAGAGTAGAAGGGAGGGGGAGAGACAGAGAAACGTTGATTGCCTCCTCCCTGACCAGGGCCAGGATCGAGCCTGCAACTGAGGTACGTGTCCTTGACCAGCATCAAACCCAGGACCCCTCACTCCGAGGGCCCATGCTCTAGATGCTGAGCCAAGCCCGCTAGAGCGAGCAAACTGGCTATCTTGATTGAGGTCATGGAATTAGTGAGGATGTACCTGAGGGAGTCCTTAGATCATTTCCTTGAGGGGTTCCCCCCAGAAACCTCCTCCTGAGTCTCCAGGACAGTGGGCAGCTGAGGCATTGACTCAGCCCAGGGCCCTGACCATTTATTTATGCTAATCCTCGCCTGGGGATATTTTTTCCATTGATTTTGTTAAAAATTTGTTTTTATTGCTTTCAGAGAGAGAGAGAGAAACATCAATGATTAGGAAATCGTTGATCGGCTGCCTCCTACACGCCCCACACTGGAGATCAAACCAACAACCCGGGCATGTGCCCTGACTCAGAATCAAACTGAGTCAAACTGACCTCATGGTTCATAGGTCGATGCTCAACCACTGAGCCATGCCAGCCAGGCTCCATTGATTTTTAGAGAGTGGGAGGAGAGACAGAGAAGTATCGATGTGAGAGAGACCATCAATTGGTTGCCTCCCACATGCACCCTGACCAGGGGCCAGGAATCCAGTAAGTGACTTGACCAGAATGGAACTCACAAGCCTTCAGTCTGAGGGCCAGTGCTCTAACCACTGAACAAGCCGGCTAGGGCTTTTTTTTTTTTTTAAATATATTTCTTTATTGATTTCAGAGAGGAAGGGAGAAAGAGAGATAGAAACATCAATGATGAGAGAGGATCATCGATTGGCCGCCTCCTGCACACCCCCCACTGGGGATGGAGCCTGGAACCCAGGCATGTGCCCTTGGCCGGAACCAAACCCGGGACCCCTCAGTCCGCAGGCCAATGCTCTATCCACTGAGCCAAGCCGGCTAGGGCTAGGGCTTATTTTTTTAACTTGATGTTTTTAGAGAAGAAGGGAGAGAGAAGGAGAAACCTTGATTTGTTATTTCACTTATTTGTGGACATATTGGTTGTTTCTTGTATGTGCCCTGGCTGGGGATCAAACCCACAACCTTGGCACATTGGGGCGATGCTCTACTGAGCCAGGACATCTGACACTGTTTTCTATCAGCCTAGCTCCTTGCCTGTAATGACACCAGCTGAGAGCAGGCCTGCATGTTTCTGGGAGCGAACATTTTACCTGGCATTTATTTTACCAGGAAGCAGGAAGCAGTCCTTTCCTTTGATCATTGGCTGGGGTTCTCTGCCATGTCCCAGCACTTTATTCCCTTCCAACCTCAGGACAACCCCATGGGCACCATTATTCCAATTTTTACAGAGGAAGAGACTAGGCGTCTGACAGCCAAGGGCACATGGCCTGTGTTCTTACCCAGTCTAGCTAGCTCCACTACTGGTCTCTGAGCCCAGACGCAGCCACAGTTCCCCCTTCCCCAAAGCCAGAGGCCTGCAAGACCCTCTCTACTTCCTGAACTCTGGAGTTAACATTTTCTTGCCTTCCTTCATTGTTGTTGGGTTGTTGTTTTAATTGATTTTAGAGAGGAGGGGAGAGGGTAAGAGAGAAAAACATTGGTGTGAAAGAGAAACATGGATCAGTTGCCTCCTGAATGCATCCAGACCTGGGATCGAACCTGAAACCTGGGTATGTGCCCTGACCAGGAATCAAACCCAAGACCTTTCGGTGCACAGGATGACACTCCAACCAACTGAGTCACACTAGCCAGGCCCTTCCTTTGGTCTAATTCAGTGATGGCGAACCTATGACATGCGTGTCAGAGGTGACACGCGAACTCATTTTTTTGGTTGATTTTTCTTTGTTAAATGGCATTTAAATATATAAAATAAATGTCAAAAATATAAATCTTTGTTTTACTATGGTTGCAAATATCAAAAAATTTCTATATGTGACACGGCACCAGAGTTAAGTTAGGGTTTTTCAAAATGCTGACACGCCGAGCTCAAAAGGTTTGCCATCATGGTCTAATTGTTCAGTTCAAAATATGGGCCTTACTCACTCCTGTGCCCACAGCAGCCTGACTTCTGCCACCCTCTAGCTCCAAGGTTCCTCTGGCAAGGGCCTCAGGACTTCCTCAAGGCCAAGTCCATAGACTGGTGGCCTCACCCTGCTCTTGTTACTTGGCAGCACCTCAGTGCCCGCCCTGCAGGGCAGCCACCTGACGCAGAAGGCAAAGCCTGAGTTGGTCTGAGTTCTTCCAGCCCCAGCACCAAATTGGCTTCCCTCTTGCAACGTGGAGGAATGTCACCAACCTGAGGACTGGAGCTGAAGTTGGGACTTCAGCATAGTGCCTGGGCCGGGCAGTACTTGTTAATGGCTAATCTGGGTGCTTAGAAATGTTTTTTGGAAAACTTTTTTTTTAAGTAATCTCTAGTCTTCTTTTTAATTGATTTCAGAGAGGAAGGGACACAGAGAGAGAAACATCAATGAGAGAATCATTAATCAGCTGCCTGCTGAATGCCCCCACTGGGGATTGAGCCCACACCGGGGCATGTGCCCTGACCTGGAATAGAATTGTGACTCCTGGTTCATAGTTTGATGCTCAACCACTGAGCTACACTGGCAGGTGACTTCTTTCTCAATAAAAATTGAGATTATAATATACCTCCTAAAAGGTATCCAGGTGGGACATTCTTCTCCTCTCACACCTCCCAAAAGAAAACAAAAGCTAAGCATGAACAAAATGAGAGTGAAACTTGTTTTATGTGTCTTTTCTGGAATAGTGACCGGGTCTGGGCCCTGGGAGTTGCTTTTGCCTGCCCCTGTGTCTGTAACAGTTTTCTGGGCACAGTTTATAAACCATTCAAATTTTACAAGACACATTATTTTATTAATATAGTGATCTCTCCCCACTACACCTAAACAAAGACCATGCTTACATAGAAATGTGAAGAGCAGAAAATGTTTGGCAGGCCCCATGCTGAGATATCACAGGCTGACCCACCTGCAGCCAAGGGCTTGCCAAAGGTCTGGCTATCACACTGAGGCATGAGGATCTGGGCAAAGAGGTGGCATCATTCTGCCCAGGGAAGTCACAGAACCCCCTCTGGGTTTGGTTGTGGGCTGTGCCAAAGCTCAACCCTTGCCTCGTCCCTGAGCACTAAGGCGTTAGTCCTTGGCTGCCAGGGTCATGGTTGGGAGGACTCCAGGAAGGTTGCTAGAGTGGCTTCACCAGGTCTCTTGGACTCTAGGTCATGGAGGGCACAGAGCTGCACGCCATCCTGGGCCAGCCGGGCCTGCAGCGTCGGCTCTGTGAGGACCCGCAGCTCATGCAGCCGTTCCCAAGAGCAGGAAAAGGCGTCGGGGCCCTCACCGCAGCCTCCAGCGGGAGGCACACTGGGGTAGCCTGGGTGGGCCATCAGCTCCGCTGTCAGGGCGTGACCTGTGGGTGTACCTTCCAGGGCCCGAGCCAGTGCTCCTGACACACGATGAGCAGACATGTGCCGGCCACAGGTGCTCAGACCCACGAAGGCATCGGTCCACCTGTGGATACCCAGGCATCAGAGCACAGACGAGCAGGACAGTGATGGGCAGGGCTAGGCCAAGGGCAGATGAGAAAGGTACTCAGCTAGCCAGCTGGACCCACTGGGACCTGAGCCAGGTAGGGAACAGGGCACAGCAGTTTGGGGGTCCTCACCTTAGGCCACTGCGGGAGAAGGGGCCCACAGCAGCCCGGGCATCGCGCTCCACTGCACACGCGAAGGCGCGAGCAGGGGCCTCCAGCCAAGTACAGTCGCCCAATCCTCGCTCCAGCGGCAGACGTGTGAAGCGCACCCCATGGGCCTGCAGCGCCTCTGCGAACACCTGGCACACGCCTGCGGGCGGGCGGGGCGCTGTCAGGGAGGAGCACCTCTCCCCACCTGCGAGCACCCCTCACCGCACCTGGGCACACCGTCCCCTGCCTGGCACCACCAACCTGGGAGCACGTGCACATGCTGGTGCCCGTCCACGTGGGTGGGTTTCCTGCCCAGTAATTCCTGGAAGCGACTCAGCTGGGCCTCCAGCTCTTCCCGCACCTGGAAGGAGAGGACTATGGCACCTTAAACGGCCGGGAGCAGCTACCGATGAGGACCAGCTACCCACCCCCCAACCCCCACCCCCGTGCCTCCGTGTGACTGCTCCAGAGTTGGAACCAGGCAAGCATCCAGAGCCCGCTCCCGTTCCCGCCCCTGATGGCGTCATGGTACCCTCTGGGAGGAGCCTTGGGGGATGTCCTCCTCCTGCAGCCGCACTTCCGCACCTGGGACAAAACTACATCTTTGGCTGCCACCGCCTCCCGGAATCCCATCTTGCCCAGGAAGAAGCCTTCGGGGCTGAGCAGCGACGAGGCGCCGTGGCGGGCCGGGCCCACCGGGCGGCCCTCGGACAGGTTGGCGTGGAGTCCCGTGGGGATTCGGTGCCTGAGGGTGGAACGCGAGCCGGAGCACAGGCGGCCACCGATCGGCGCCGCCCAAACCCCATTCTGACTGGGGCGGGGGGGGGGGGGGTGTCACTCCTCACCTGCGGGCCAGTTCCGCCGCGCTCTCCGCCGTCGCGCCGTTGACCAGCAGGGACACGCTGGTCACAGCTCCGGCCAGGAAGGCCTCCACGATGCCCTCATCCCGCCGCGGGCAGTACCCAAAGTCGTCCGCAGTCACCACCAGCCGCACGCGCGGCCAAGCCATCCCCCAGCCAGAGCGCGCGGCTGGGGACCTGATGGGAGTGAAGCGGCCAGTCCAGGCTCCGCCCTGAAACGCAGCCCCAGGCCCCTCCCCGACGCCCACACCCGGGCGCGTCCCCACTTCGCCTTTGTTCTTGCCACCTAGTGGCCCCGCCGTGGCCCTGCAACGACCTCCCGCCTCCCGGTGGGCTCCAAACCAAGCCGACCACGGCCAGGGCTAGATTTATTGCAACGCGACACTTTCAGCGACTGCAAAAATAACATTTAATATGAAACATGCAGAAGAGAAAGCCTGAAGAAAGAAATCTCTTACCCTTCCCGGAGATTACCACTGTCAATTTTCTGGGGACAGTGTCCTTCCAGTATTTTCCCTAAGCAAATAGACACACCTAATTCCTCTTCTCTCCTTCCCCAACTTTTGAGAAATAATGATCATATCAATGTTATCTCATTTTTGTAATGTTTCATTTTTTTAAAAAAATGTTTTTTATTGATTTCAGAGAGAGGAAAGAGAGATGGAAACATCAATGATGAGAATCATCGACCAGTCAGCCTCCTGCTTGTCTCCTGCTTGGGGCTCGAGCCCGCAACCCAGGCATGCGCCCTGACCAGAAATGGAACAGGACCTCCAGGTTCATAGGTCGAGGCTCAACCACTGAGCCACACCCGTCAGGTTGTATGTTTCATTTTTCATAGTGACTATGAACTTTTCCATGTTTTTATTAGCTCTTTATGTGTCTTCTTTTTCAAACTGCCTGTCTTTTACTGATTTTTTTTTTTAAGGAGTGGCTCGTGTGTGTGTGTGTGTGTGTGATTTGTAAAAGCTCAAACAATAAAATGAAAGAAAACATGTAATACCAATGGCTTCATTTGAGGAAGCATTAGCCCCTACTTCCATCTCTCCAGCTCTGTGCCAGACTACTTTTTACATTCACAGCCTCCTTTTTTTTCTTTTTTTTAAAAAATATATTTTATTGATTTTTCACAGAGGGGAAGGGAGAGGGATAGAGAGTCAGAAATATCAATGAGAGAGAAACATCAATCAGCCGCCTCCTGCACACACACACACCCCCCACTGGGGATGTGCCCACAACCAAGGTACATGCCCTTGACCGGAATCGAACCCGGGACCCTTCAGTCTGCAGGCCGACGCTCTAGCCACCGAGCCAAACTGGCTACGGCTCCTTTTTTTCTTTGTGGTTCAGAGACGTTTTCCTTACCCATGACTGTACAAATAATCACATAGTTGATAACCAGGGTTTTCATTATGATGTCTTGCTTTTCCCAATGGAAGTGCAGTATTTGTGTACCGCCTATGACATTGATGATGTCATTTCCATTTACCAATCTGTTTTATGGATGAAGAAGCTGAGGTTCAGAGAAGGTTAGTTTCTTCCCAAAGTGATCCTGCCAGGAGTAGTGGAGCTGGGACTGCCTCCGGAGCTCGGAGCCTGCATCTGCATCTGCTCTGGTCCCTTAGGCCCTGGCTGCCCCTATTTCAGGGGCCGCGAGGAAAGAGCTGAGCTAGAGAATAACAAATGATACCGATTTCTGTGAGGGCACAGTACGAAGTGGAGGCCTCAAAGAGCTCACTGAGCTCTTGGCGTAAGGACTGACTGTTGTGTTCAAACATGATTATTAAATCATCAGACCGCACCCTAGCCGGTGTTGCTCAGTTGGTTGAGCATTTTCCCGAGCACGGAGAGGTCCCAGTTTGGTTCCAGTCTCGGCACATGCCCGATTTGTGGGTTCAATCCTCAGTAGGGGGCATTCAGAAGGCAGCCAATTGATGTTTCTCTCTCCACCTCCCTGTAAAGTCAATAAAAACATACTTTATTTTTTATTTTTTAAAAATATATTTTATTGATTTTTTTACAGAGAGGAAGGGAGAGGGATAGAGAGTTAGAAACATTGATGAGAGAGAAACATCGATCAGCTGCCTTCTGCACAGCCCCCACTGGGGATGTGCCCGCAACCAAGGCACATGCCCTTGACCGGAATCGAACCTGGGACCCCTCAGTCCACAGGCCGACGCTCTATCCACTGAGCCAAACCGGTTTGGCCATACTTTATTTTTTTTTAAAAATCATCAGACCTCAATCAACCAGCATTCTCCACTAGGAAACTGATCCTGGAAAGGCCAAAGGTCTTTGAGTGTCTAAAGACTGGAAGAAGGAAATTAAAATTCACTGAGCATCTATTCTAATACTATGAGTGGTACTAGAAATATTAGAGATTAGGGGTGAGCACCTCAATCCCTAACTCCAAGGAGTGCCGCCTGGTAAAGTGTGGCAGAATCTGGAATGGGGTTTGCCATCATTCTGTTGGAGAAGGAAGGGTGAGCCTTTTGGGAAGGCTTCTCTGAGAGGTGACACCTGGGAAGGGGGCTGCATGAGGAGGAGTTTATCAGGCAGAGGGGGAGAGGAGGTAAAGATATATGGGGATCTTATGGGTTGTCGGGTGTGTTGTATGAAAATGTAATCTCCAGCCCTAACTAGTTTGGCTCAGTAGATAGAGCGTCGGCCTGCAGACTGAAAGGTCCCAGGTTCGATTCCGGACAAGGGTATGTACCTTGGTGTGCAGGAGGCAGCTGATTGATGTTTCTAACTCTCTATCTCTTTTCATCTCTGTAAAAAATCAATAAAATATATATTTTTAAAAAAGAAACTGTAATCTCCATATTCCCTGGGGAAGGACATTCAATTCCCTTTATAAAGGAGCAGAGATCATAGCGGTTGAGTCCACAGGCAGGAAACGACAGAGCTGGGAATGGAAGCTAAACCTGTGACTTAGAGCAGGAACTCTTTCCTCTGCGCTCAGGGAGACTGCAGAAGGGAGCGGGCTCAAGAGGGACCTTGGGGTTGTCCACAATGGGTGAGGGGAGGACACTGGAAAGAAGAGCCGGAGGCCCAGGGCTACGCAGGGACCCGATTGGAGCCGAAGAATGTGCTTGTGTCACTAGAGACTTTGACTTTGCCCCTTAGGCTCGCCTCCCTCGGGGCAGATAAAGGAGTGGGGGGATCAGAGTGGGGATCAGAGTGGGGATCAGAGCCGCTCACTCCTGGCTCCCTGGCTCCCTGGCTCCCTGGCTCTGAATGTGGGAGTGACAGAACTGGATGAATTAGGGGAGGGGCCATCGCGGGCCCCGCCCACAACCTTTGTGTCGGGGGAGCTGGAGAAAGGGCGCCGGTTGAGAGCCAATCAAGATGCCGCATGTAAATGACCCCGAGGGGCGTTCTCTGAGCGACTCCAGAACAGTGTCGCTGCCCCCCAGCGGGCAGAGATCGCACTGCCTGGCGCCATGCGAGGCGCTAACTTTGGTGAGTCGTGGGGTTCGGCCACGGACAGACGCCCGGGCGCCCGGGGTCTGGGAGGGGCGAGGATTGGAGATGGTCAAAGTCAGGATGAGGACGTCCTTGGGGACCCCAACCCCAACGGTTCCGGACACGGATGTGTATGCCGCAGCCCAGGGGTCTCCAGGAGCAACGGCAGGGCCAGACCCCGGAGGGACTTGGGGTGGCGGGAGCGAGGGACCTGTGGACCCGGGGCCTCTGACGCAGTGTCCTACAGAGGGACGGAGACTCGAACCTATGGAAGCCTGGGGAGAAACTCACGCCTTCTCCCCGCCCGATGCGGAGAGGCAGCCGCGGCCGCACGGCAAAACGGAAGAGAGAGGACGGCTGGCAGCCGACCGGTGCACCCACATCATGAACACCTGCCGCCACCACTCCGGATACCTGGCGGACGATGAGGCCGGCCACATCACGTACCGGGCCCGGGTAGGTGTGCCCGGGAGGGCCTGACTCTGAGGCCCGGCCCCATAGCTCCCTCGCCAGCCCCAGTGCCCCAGATCACAACACCCCTTCCTCATTTCCACTGCGCTGACCCCCTGCTGGGCCCTACTCGCCCTCAATTGCTTTTTCTTTTTAAAGATATATCAGCACATAGGTATTTTGAAACACATTTGTATTGATTTCAGAGAAGAAGGGAGAGGGAGAGAGAGAGATGGAAACATCAATGATGAGAGAGAATCATTGATCGGCTGCCTCCTGCACGCCCCCTACTGGGGATGAGCCCACAAGCAGGCATGTACCCTGGCGGGTAATCAAACCCTGACCTCCTGGTTCATAGGTCGACACTTAATCACTGAGCCATGCTGGCCAGGCACCCTCACTTTCATCCTACCTCCCCCTGACTTCCAGTGGCCTGGGAGGAGCTCAGTAGACTGGGGCCCAGAGTGGGATCATGGGGTTTATTCAAGGCTTAGGACTCAACCTGCAGAAGTAGCCGTGGGGTGTGCAGGGCTCAAGACCACAGGTGGTCTGTACAGCCCAGCAGTGGAGCAGGACAGACAGATGAGGAGCCCAAGTGAGGAGTCAGAGGGGTTTTGTGATCACCCACTCACTCCCTGTGGGAGGGCCAGAGGTGGGCTTTCAGATCCCCTTGTGCCCACAGTCATACAGCCTGAAGGTGGCAGAACCAGGGCCTAAACCCAGGGCTCTAAGCACAGTTCCTTCCGCTGCCCACCCAGCGCCTGGTGCTTTAGAAGGACCCCCAGGGGCCCTCCTGCTCTGGGGCCTTCCTGATCCCTGTGACATGCCTCTCTGCTCAGGTGCAGCCGCCTAAGAAGCCACCGTTCCTGAAAGTGGAGCAGCCCTCCAATCTGGGCCACGTGCCACACCCACCGTCGATGTATGGCCCCTCCGGCAGCTCAGGGCTTCGCAGCCACCGTGGGAGCACGAGGGACCCTCGGCCCTTTGGCAGTTTCCTGGATTTCCTGGTGGAGGGCCAGGTGCTAGAGAGCCTGCAGAGGGTGGTGGAGGAAGCAACTGAGCGCATGGCTACCATGAAGACAGAGGCTGGGGCGCCGCTGGTGGATGTGCAGGACCCAGTGGAGATGCCGAGGGGTGGGCGACGTGTGCGTGCCCGGCCCAGCCTCAGTACTGTGCACCGGCACCAGGTCCAGCCCAGCCTCTGCATCGGGCACCCCAACAACTACCCATCCTGCTCCAGCTCCATGTCTGACTCACATAGCAACGCCACAGGCGGCTACCCGGGTTCCTATGGCCGGGACAGCGACCTGGGCTACCGCGGCCTAGGCCCACTGCCACCCATAAGGGACAAACTGCTGCAGGAGAAGAGCCTTAAACGGCTGCTGCGGCTGGAGAACAGAGGGGTAAGATGTGGGGCCACGGCCTGGGGTGGGGAGGATGGAGCCCAGCCCAGAGCTCAGGGTCAAGCCTGGCTTGGCTGTTCCTGGACACCTCTGAGAATCCCCCTCTCTCTTCAGAAACGCCTGCCCTGCTCCCAGGGGGATTCTCTGCTGTGGGACTCACTGGGCTCAAGCTTGGGTACACCGGAAGCATCAGAGCTGGGGATTGGCGAGAGAGAGCTGAAATTCCTCAAGAGAGAGTTCAACAGGGAGATCAAGTCCTTGCTGAGCCAGTCGGAGGCCTTCAACCTGCCCGGCTACTCTTCGTTCCGTGAGCCCCATCGGACCCTAGACCTCCTGGCCAAGCACCATCTCTTCCCTGCCCTGCAGAGTGTGGTCAACCAGGCTGTGGACAAGCTCAGTGGCGCCCTCCGGCAGAACGGCTGCCCTCTCTTCCCATCAGAATGGGAGCCCATCACAAAGCCCAATTTAGAAATCACACCAGGCTCCAAACTGGCCACACCCAACCCAGAGGAGACCACTGACGATCTCCCCTCCACCGCAGCCTCCAGCTCCAAGATGACTGGAAGAAAAAACAAGCCCAGAACACGGGACAAGCCCAAGGAAGGTGGTTCCACCATGTCTAATGCCCAAGGAGCCACCAGATTTAGGCTCCAGGTGATACCCACTGAAGAGCCCAAGGTCCCCTCACCCCACACCAGGCAGGAAGCACCTGCCCAGTACCCCAAAGAACAGAGATCACCCCTCTTTTCTTCTGGGCCTCTGAGCTCCAGCCAAAGGGCCCAGCCCTGGCGGAGCCTACACATCACCCTGCCTGCCCCCGGGATCAAGGTAGAAGTGCCCAAGCAGACCCACCTGACCCAGGTCACAATTCCGCATACCTTCCACCACCTCCCTGCATTCGTACCACTCTCCTCCTTAGTAAGAAAGCTCACCCCAACACTCGCTTCACTGTATTCTGATGTGACTACCTCTAGGGCAAAGCTGGAAAGTTTAGGGGCAAACTTGGAGGGCAAAGGCCCTGTCAGCCACCATTCCTAAAAGCCGCTGTCACTGGCAGGTACCCATGGTTCAGGTCTCTCGCCCTGTACAGTGGAAACCACCTGAACAGCGGACAAGCTGATGGGGACTAGGAACCCTGGCCTAAATACTGCCAGGTGTTATGAAAGATGAATAAAGGCTATTTTTAATTCTGGGTATTCTTTTAACATTTGCATGTGAAATTGGAGACCGTCCCATGTGGAGAGGGTCCTGTCCCTTGTGGACAGCAGCCTGAGCTTAGAGTGGGGCTCTGCATCCTAGGTCTAATACCCTCTGGTCCTGCTGCCTGGGCCAGGGCTGCCGTGTATCTGCCCGGATAACAGGGATTTGACCAGGAAGGGTGTGGAGAAGATGTAGGTGGCTTCATCCTGGTGGGTCTCCAGCCCAAACCCAGACCCTCTCTCACCCATCAAGGCCCGGGCACACCTCCCTCCTCTGAACCCTGGCCTGGGCAAGAATCTGCTGGAACCTGGGTTGTCCAGGCTCCAGTTTGGCTGACAATGTGACTACGGTCACCTGCCTTGTCCTGTAGCCTGACTGGTGTGGCCAGTGTGATGAGAGTGTGACCAGTGTGACAAGTGGCCGACATGCAGGACCCGTGCTGAGCTGTTGAGCGGGAAGCAGAGCAGATGTGTTGAGGCCATACCCTTAGTGTGACAGGCCTGGTGTCCATGTGGGTGACATGTCGGGTGCTGTGGTGTGAGGGACATCCCAGGACAGCAAGAGTGGCATGACATGTCTCCCTTTCCCTCCCTGGCTGCTGCACAGAGCCCCCATTACAACAGGAAGAAGACGACACTGCCCTCCATCTCCTCCAAGTCCATATCCTACATCTCCAACCCCTGGTCTGAGGAGCTTATCAACGACATGACGGAGCAGGCTGTCTCCTTGCTTGTCTGCAAGTACAAGTTTGAGAGGAACCTCACCAAGCAGCTGGGCCTCATCTCCTTCCCCATCACGGAGACCCTCGTGGACCTCTTGCTGGGCTTCAAGAAAGTGAAAGGCTCCAACATCTGCCTGTCCTCGGAGGTCAACTGGAACGACCTGCTGCGCATGCTGGAGGAGGCCCAGTGGGCCCGGCATGTGTCCCTGGAGGCCTCCCAGCATGACGCCTCCCAGCACACTGCCTCCCTCCCAGGCAGCATAGACACCCCCTCCATATTGTCTATGCCGGCCACTGTCCTGGATCAGGTGGCCGAGGAGCCAGGCCCCCAGTTACCTACCCTTCAGGAGAAAGGTACAGCGGAGGAGCACAAGCCCACGAACCAGTTGGAGCCCAAGCCCTCCGCATCCCAGACCACTGGCACGGGCTTCAAGCAGCCTGAGCAAGTAGTGGACATGGGGGAGAAACAGAATAGGGAGGGGGAGGGGGAGGAGGAGGAAGAGGAGGAGGAGGACGAGGAGGAGGAGGAAGAAGAGGGGGAGGAGGAGGAGGAGGAAGAGGAAGAAGAGGGGGAGGGGAGGAAGAAGAGGGGAGGAGGAGGAGGAGGAGAGGAAGAAGAGGGGGAGGGGGAGGAGGAGGAGGAAGAGGAGGGGGAGGAGAACTATAACATTTTGGGGAGATGAGAATGAGACCCAGAGCACCCCTGAGTGTAGGCAGAGATCAGCCATTTCTCAGACGGCCCTGGAGATTGCCCGAGGCTCCCTAAGCTGAATCCAGTTCTGGATTCCCTACTCTCTCTCCTGCTCTAGGGAAATGTCCACCCAGCTGGCCCCTGATCTGAGCAGAGATCAGAACAGGCTAAATGCCCACAAGACGCTCTGCTCAGCCTCTCAAGAGATCGAACAGGGAGAATAAAGTTTCTGTTGATGGAGCAGTGTTCTCGTCTGGAGATTTCAGCCTCCCTTTCACACACTTGCTCACCTGCCCCTGGATAGCACATCCCAGCGGGCCAGGCCTGGCCGCCGCTGGCTTTCAGGACAGTTGGCAGTGCTCTGACCCCTGTGACCTCACATGCTCTGTTGAACACAAATCGCTGTTCATGGCTTTTCTGTCCTCCAGTCAGCATCGTCCCGGCTCTTCAGGCTTCTAGGGTTCATGGTCCCCTTCCATCACAGCCTCTTGTGCATCATGGCTTCTGCTTCCAGAGGCGGCTCCTCTGCCAAGGCACTTCCCCCCTCCCTTTGGCATGCCACACCCTCATATTCCTACCGAGGAGCCACCCTTTCCTGCTGCTGCTCTCAGGGCCACCTGTTTTCCTAATTTGGACTTCGTACCTCCACCTTCTGAATCTGGAGGTTCTATGCCAAGCCACATGGTGCTGCGGCTTGGTCAAGCTGTGGATTGGCTGCCCCAGGTTGGCCACTTGACTCTCCTTATTTCAGTGGTGCCGGACAGGCTGACTGTCTCCAGAAGGGTCTGTGGGCACGGCAGGTCTCATCTCCAAGGCTCTCTGGGGGCTTCTGGCCTTCCTGTGCCACCAGTGCTGCGCCCTCCTTCCCTCTGCCTTCTCAGGGCAGTCCGTCTGCTCCCCTGTTCAGGCATCTTTGCCCAGGGACCAGCTCCACCTCTCCCCTCACCACCCTTTCCCCATGGCTGAGAGACCACGCGAAGATGCTTCACATTGCCTCAGCACCCAGGGGCAGAGGCCAGGCCTGCGCAACGCAGCCTGGACATGCTCAGTGGCCCCCGGGGAAGGGCCGCTGGAGCCAGGCAGGGAGGACCTTCCGCACAACATCCACACCCTGCGCCTCAGGAGGAAGACTTACTACACTGCGAGTCAGGGGGATCAGAGCGCTAAGGTGGAGGCGGGGGTGGGGGGTGTGTCAGGGACCCACTTTACCACAGAGCTCTTTTGGAAGGATCTTTCAGGGAACATGCTCAGCCCATAAGACCCATTCCCTGAGGCCACCCACTGCCACCACCACCATAGTGTGGAGCCACGATAGCCGTTTTCCTGCACGTGGCCACAGTGCTGGGACCTATTGGCACAACTCTAGCCAAGCTAGGCCACTCCGGTTCTTTCCTAGAGATTCTGGTGCAGTTTGCCCTGACGGCTGAAGGCAAGCGTGGATGGTGAAGAGCAGCCATCTTCCACCCCTCTCCAGAGAGGGCAAGAAACGCTGATGGCAGGAGGGAGCCAAGAAGGGGAGCCCCAGGATTTGAGAGCGAGCAGCTGTTGATACCCGTCAACTTCGCAGGCCCCACTGCCGAGTCCTTAAGGAAGAACTGAACATATCCCCTCCCCAGCCTCCGAAGTACGTGCCCAGGGACTGTCCTGGGAGGGGAGCAGGCCCTTCCCCTTGGAAACTACTGGCACATGGTACTAGAGACACCTGACCTTAGCTCCTGTTCCAGGTGTCTTGCTGTGTGAGAAACCACTCTGAGACTTAAGTGGCTCCAAACCGTTTGTCATGATCCTGGATTTTATTTTATATATATATATTTTTATATATTTTATTGATTTTTTACAGAGAGGAAGGAGAGGAATAGAGAGTTAGAAACATCAATGAGAGAGAAACATTGATCAGCTGCCCTCTGCACACCCCCTACTGGGGTTGTGCCCGCAACCAAGTACATGCCCTTGACCGGAATCGAACCTGGGACCCTTAAGTCCGCAGGCCGACACTCTATCCACTGAGCCAAACCGGTTAGGGCTTATTTTATATTTTTTATCCTTATTCAAGGATATGTGGTGGTGGTGGTGGTGGTGTGTATGTGTGTCTTATTTATTCTTTTTTTAAAAAATATATTTTATTGATTTTTTACAGAGAGGAAGGGAGAGGGATAGAGAGTTAAAAGCATCAATGAGAGAGAAACATTGATCAGCTGCCTCCTGCACACCCCCTACTGGGGATGTGCCCGCAACCAAGGTATGTGCCCTTGACTGGAATCGAACCTGGGACCCTTAAGTCCGCAGGCTGACGCTCTATCCACTGAGCCAAACCAGTCAGGGCATATTCTTAATATTTTTATTGATTTCAGAGAGGAAAGGAGAGGGAGAGATGGAAACATCAATGATGAGAGAGAATCATTGATTGGCTGCCTCCTGCACACTGGGTATCCAGCCTGCAACCCAGGCATGTGCCCTGACCTGGAATGGAACTATGACCAGCTGGGTCATAGGTCAATGCTCAGCCATTGAGCCACCATGGTGAGGCTGTGTGTGTGTTTTTTAAAAAATTTATTAGGGGGGGGGGGATGGAAAGAGAGAGAAACATCTATGTGAGAAAGAAACATCAATTGGTTGTCTCCCATACTCACTTTGGCTGGGGATTGAGCTCACAACCTAGGCATATGCCCTAACCAGGAATGGAACCCGCAACCTTTGGTGTACAGGATGATGCTCCAACCAACTGAGCCACCTGGCCAGCGCTATTTTTTTTATAATCCACTTCTAGAGTAGGGTATTTATTATAAACTTGCTCAGTAGAAGAATAAGAGTCCATTTTGTTTATGAGATTGCAAAACACTCAAGAAGCTTGACTATTCAGACATGTATTGAACCTGGAGCCCACACAACACCAAAGAAATAGTGTTTTGAAACAAGAAGCAATTTTAAAAATAAAACTGACCATATAATAGGTTGATCATTTAGAGTCTAATTGAATTACAAAATATCTCCCCTAAAATGCTTTTTAATCTAACTAGGGGTTTGATTCACTAATAAGTCTAGAAATACAGTCTATTGTAGCCACAGACACCCACAAATATGCCATCGGGGAATGAAAAATTGTGTATTTTGAGGGTTGTGTTATTGGGACCATGACCTTCATTCCAGGGACCCCAAAGTTGCTTGTACTAACTCAGGAGAGGTCACCCGATTCCCAGAGAGAAACAGGAAGAGAACAAAAAGAATGAACACTTCCCTTTCTGACAACGGTCCCTTTCTGCAGGTGCCTGGCATGATCTGATATATAAGGCACAGTCACTTTCCTGTGTAGGGAATGTCTTGGAGGGGCCAGGGTATCAGAAGCAGGGACATCAGTTAGGATGGGGTGGTAGATATCTAGAGGGAAGATGGGGTGACTTGGATCAGGGTGGTGATGAGGGATGCAGGAGAGTTGCCTCCCTATCTTTTTTGGAGTCAGTGTTGGATTAGATGTGAGTGCAGCAAAGAGAGGAATCAGAGATGAATCCCAAGTTTTGGCCTTGAGCAACCGGTGACTGTTGTAAGTTTCCCACCCTTGAAGACCCATGCATGTCAGGAACCTGGATCACACAGTCGCCTACAGTCACTTTCTAACGGGGCTCTGGTTCCCTAAGAGCTTTAGGGCTTTCCGGTGAGAACATGCCATCACACCAAACACCACAGCTCCCTGCTGCCCTCTGCTGCCTGGTGGCAATAGTGTCAGGGAAGGAGTCGGTGAGAGGCATGTGGGTTCAGAAACCCCAGGGTCCAGGGACTGAGGTGACCCAACGTCAGAGAGGGGAGATGACCGAGTGACTGGGGGAGTATTGAATACGGGAGTCCGGGAGCTGAAGGGCCAGGCGATTCATTATCTGACATCTGTCGACTTTGTGACCACAACATTCAGTGGTCGAGCAACCTCAAGACCCTGCAGCTTCGGACCCAGGGGCTGAGGACAGAGGCCACGATTGCGGGCTCGGGGATCCAGGATGAAGAAGCTTCATGACCGGGTTCAGAGGCTGCTGTTGGACCCTTCCCTACAGCCTCCGCCGGCAGCTCTCCCACCGCTGGGAGCCGCACCAGCCTCCCTTGGCTGCTCATTGGTGAGGCGTCGGAAGCGTGGACCAATCAGAACCCTCCTCGTGTCTCCAGCTCCCTCCTCTGGAAAGCTGGCCGCGACGAGCCAATGGTAGGGCCGGCGGAGCGCGGTGCGGATCCGCGATTGGCTGCCGCGGGGGCTCGGTCCCAGCCGGATTGGCCGGCTGCGGAGACGGAAGCGGCTCGGGCCGGAGCTGGCGGAGCCCGGCCGGGGCGATGTGGAGCGCGGGACGCGGCCGCGCTGCGGGTGCGGCGCTGCTGGGGCTGCTGCTGGCGCTCTCGGTGCCGGGCAACGGCGCCGCCAAGACCGGCGCGGGGGTCGTGACCTGCGGGTCGGTGCTGAAGCTGTTCAACACGCAGCACAGGGTGCGGCTGCACTCGCACGACGTCAAATACGGATCCGGTGCGCGGGGCCTAGGACTGGGCATCGCTCGGGGGCGGGGCGGGAGCTGGGAGTTGAAGGCCGAGTGATGGTGGGGGGTCTGCGGCCAAGGGTCTGGGGGTGTCCTGGCTGGAGTTATCGGAGGACCGAGGAGGACAAGGGCCGGCGGTTGGAGGGGGTCGTCGCTGGGTTGGGGGCGAAGAGGGTGGTCTGAGAGTTCATCCGGGGACCAGGGGGGGAGCCGTTAGGGTATCGGGGTGGAGGCCGTCCTGGAAAGTTTATGGCGTTCGGGCTGAGGGTCGCGGGTTCCGGGACTGACGGCGACCCCGTGGGTGGGGTGGGGTGTCGCCCTCAGGCAGCGGCCAACAGTCGGTGACCGGCGTGGAAGCGTCTGACGA